ACAACTTAGGTTAGGCCATCATGTTCATATCTAATTTGGTGTGCCCCCTTGGGTATGCTTCAGGCTTTCCTACAGCTTAGGATGAGTCTTAGACACATGAAGGAATTAATATAAAAGCTGCCTGATATATTCGAATAGGATTGACATCATATATCTATATTCCTCAGGAAAAAGATTGTGAAATTGGAGTTAAGTTTTTAGCTATATCTTCAGCATCTGTGTCTACAACTCATCAGATCCATCCATCTAAATTAGATTGCACTTTTCCGTTCCTGGTGGTATCAAAATGCCGTTGTGTCTGGATATCTTATCCGTCTCTTCGGGAAAATGAATATATCCAGAAAAGATTTTAAGTTCAATACTTTTTTTTCTCTCCACTCAGACTAATCCACCTACTTGGCTTTTTGTATTTGTATTTAAAGCGAGTTGTGTATCTACTCCAATGATACTATTGTTTCGGACCATTATGAACGAAGATCCGGGTAAGATATGCACCTCTTCAGGAATAAGAAAACTGATCCACTTGCATTTGGTATTTCAGACTAAATTCTTTTGCTTCTCGATATTCAATCAAGTCTTCTTTTTTTACTATTGAATCCACCTCTAAGGTCCCATATTTAGTAATTCCCGAACTTTTTCTTCTATATCGTGGATCATCAAAATAAGCAATAATACTATTTCTACGTAAAATACCATTTATGAGTATTTCAATCGAAATACCAAAAGAGGGTATTAGTTCTTTCTCTCGTTCTTGATCATATTGTAATAGTATTTCAATCGAAATACCAAAAGAGGGTATTAGTTCTTTCTCTCGTTCTTGATCATATTGTAATCGGATGAGAAATCTATTTCTTCGCCTTTTCGCCAAGAAATCATAATTTTCTTGGAGAATCAAAGGATATATGAAATTCCAATATCTTGAATTGGGACCAAGAAAAAAAAGGTTTCTATAGAAGATGCTCATGATTCCCTAAAAAGAAAATCATTTCTTTCAATACTCACTCATTGTTAGTTAACAATCCTAATGGTTGGATTGTATGCTTAATTCTGATAGGAAATAAAATAGTAAAATGATTGTTCATCGAATGACTATTCATCTATTATATTTTCATCAAATAGGATAGGAAATAAAATAGTAAAATGATTGTTCATCGAATGACTATTCATCTATTATATTTTCATCAAATAGGGAGCATGAAGACTATGAAAAATGGTGGTTCAATTCGATGTTGTCTAAGGAAAAGTTGGAGCATAAGTTTGGGCTAAGTAAATCAATGGATAGTCTTAATGTTGTTGGACATACCAGTGGAAGCGAAGAGCCTATTCTAAATGATACGGAGCATAACATTCCTATCTGGAGTGATAGCGATAGTTATAATTTTAGTAATATTGATTATTTATTTGATATCAGGGATATTTGGAGTTTTATCTTGGTATGCTCCAGGCTTTCCTACAACTCAAAAGGATGAGTCTTAGACACACGAAGGAATTAACATTAGAAGCTGCTTGATATATTCAAATAGGATTGACATCATAGATCCATATTCCTTGGGAAAGAGATTGTGAAATTGGAGTAAAGTTTTCAGTTATATCTTCAGCATCTGTGTTTGCAACTTATCAGATCCATCCATTTAAATTAGGCTGCACTTATTGAGGGTGGGGACAGGTAAGCTTACAATTTCACCCTAAGTAGCCGTGACTTTCTCTACCTTGATGAGTAACGTAGAAATTGAAGATTACCTACTCTAATGTGTAAATGTAGGATTTACTCATGGTAATTGGTTATAAATACAATGAAGAGAAATGTTTTTGAAAAGTTACTGAATTTTTTCTTGAAAATTTAATGTAGCTTCTTTGTGGTGGCATTTGTTCCATTATGCTGACCAATATTCTAAAAAGTATCCACCTAGGCCTAAGCGGTCCTTTGGCCTCTCAGAAGCGACCTGATTGGCCAGTCTAGGTGTCCATCACGCCTAGGTGGCGTCTAGGTGCTGCATAGGGTTGAGCAGTCAGCCTAGGCTCACCGCTTAGGTTTTTATTAAAAAACCCAAGAACGGCCCAAATCAGCCCATAATTTAAACCAAACTAATATTTTATACCCAAACTCGACCCACAAACTTAAAACCCAAATCCTAACCTAAACACTCGTCTCGTCATCTCTCTCTCCCCACTTTGCAGTTGTAGCTACCGAAACCCAAACCCTATCTTCCTTCTCCAGAAATCCTAAACACCCTCTTGCAGTCGCCTCTCTGACTTCCTCTCTTGCCGCCCGACTTCCTCTCTTGCCGCCACATCTTCCTCTCTTGCCGCCCGATTTCCTCTCTCGCCGCAGATTCTTCCTCTCTCACTGCCGCAACTCTTCTCTCCCAGACGCAGCTTCTCCCTTGCCGCATCACCTCCCTTGTCGCTGCTCCTCACACGTCCCCAAACGCTTAGGCGTCGCCTAGGCACTAGGCACTGGCTCAATTGCCTAGTCTAGCGTCTTCATTAACGTTGATGCTGAGCGTGAAGAGCTTGAGTTAAATCCCATGGGATAATTATATGGACATTTTTTTTAATATTTAGTTGGTCTAACATAAGAAGAGAAAGCATCTTTAGACTAAAATCAGGCTAGTTAACATAGGACGCTACAGTTCATTTTGAAATTTAAATCCATGTATGTGTTTAATATTTGAAATATTTATTTTAGTGGGTCCTTAGATAGGTAAGCACACTTTGGATTATCCTATTCGTTCATATAAACGTGAAGAAAAAATTATCCCTTACCCTATCAGTTTAGACCAACTTGTAACAAATCTTATTCTATCAGTTAGAAAGTCTTAGAGATAAATTTCTTACGCATATGGGTTGGTTTTTTTGACTTGGGATCACCAATTTCCTGACAAAAATAGTAGTCACCCTGTGCTCTATTAGATCTCCTCTACCATGTCTCTTTTCTTCCTTTCAATTTCTCTTGAAACAAAGAGTAAGAGGGTGGTTTACAATCCATATGCTTTTGCGAAAAGAGTAAGATCATGTTCTTTTTCAACATTTAATGTCAAAGACTTCTAATTCAAAACCGTCTTAATTTCAGTCATCTCCTGACATGCCCTATCAAGCTCGTTGGTCTCATGGTCCGGCTCCTCCACCCATTCACTCTGTTCCACTAACTATGCCATTGCAACAGCAACCACAGAAGCAACAGCAGCAACCACAACCTCAGCAAGTTGACAACAGAATGCCTTCTCAATTTGGTAGCAGTCACCCAGCAGAGATCTCAACTGTTAAAGATCGGTTCCATGATCCCCGTTCTTCTACATCTGGCAACAGTAATAGGAGTTTCTCTGTTACTAATGAACTCCGTATGGCTGAACCTCCAACTGCGAGCAACAACAAAAGTTCAAACAATTTGAAGAGCTCAACCACTAGCAGCAACAACGGAGCTCAGAATGCCACATCATCTTCGTTCAAGCCCCAAGTATCACAGAAACAACAATCAGCTTCATCGGGTCAACAACAATACCTTCATCCAATTGGTTCTCAGAAGACATCAACAGGTGAATGGCACCATCGCAGGATGGGATATCAAGGTCGAGGCCAGGGTTCAGACAAGGGTTTTGCTCCTTCAAAGATGAAGCAAATATATGTGGCCAAGTCCACAACAAGTGGAAATGTGACGAAAAGCTGAGACCTAGGTTGTTGGTTTAGCACTGTTAGAAAATGACTCATCGGCCTTGTGGCTCGATTAGTTTGGAATTTGTAGATGATATATAAGGGAGGGAGTATTAAATGCGTTGTTAGATTGGATTCTGGCAGTGGAATTAAGGAGGTAGTGGATGGATAAAAGGAGAGCATTGGCTCCTATTGTAGATGTAGGATTCTGTTTTGATGCGTAAGAATATTTTCCAGGATATTGTGCTATCACAAGTAGTATAATTATGATTCTTTTGGATTTGAGGGATAATGTAGCAACAGTTGTATGCAATCAAGGTGACATTTCCATCACTTTGTGGAATGAATCAAATGGGGGTTTGTTTGTTCAACTTGCACTCTCTAATCTTTCGTTGTGTGCTGTTAATAGTTGACATCCTCTCTTGCGCGAGGTTGACAGGGTTCCATCTTTTTCATCGGACCAAGGTGAGGTTCCATCTGTCTAAAGTTCCAGTCGCGGTCAGATATTGCTATTTATAGGAGTATTTTCACAGTTTTAGACGGATCCTATTTCTGCCCGTTTCCATATGTAGCAAATGCTTTTTTTAATAAACATGTCAATTGTAACGCTTGAAGCCAATATGCAAATATATGCCTAATTACGGTAAGAATACAGATTGAATATGTACTATGAACGTCCGGAGTCCACGTAGCCTGTGATGAAACTACAAAGAATTCGTCCAGCCACTTTACAGTTTCTCACTGAAAGAAAAAGGAGGAAGATAAAACTGCAACCATGCGTTCCTCATGATGCTGAGTCAAAGAGAGTCTGGATTATGGTTCTATTCCAAGGACTCGAAAGATGTGTTAAGAGGTTATCGATAGGTCCGGTGTGCGTTACGTTGGCTTGGACGAAGATCCCAAGCATTGCTATCATTGCCAATCGTCCTGCAATCCGTATTCAAATCTCAATTACGATCATACTCCATGTTCCATAGGCGAAATATAAATCTGAAAAGTTCAGTGACTTCACCATTCTTGATCTCCTTGAGCTTCAAGTCATTCGCATTGCGAATATCTTTAGCCAGGCCAAGAGGATTTAGCAAAGGTCCACCCGGGTACCTGCTCACAACAAATTTTTTTTTCCAGAAACAGTTTGAAAACAGCGACATTTTATATTGCATGAGTATAAATTTACCCAGGTTCTAATCCTTCTAGTGCAGCTTCCAGGCCAAAAAAGGTGCCTTCTTTGGCTTGTGAGCCAGGACTGATGAAATCCATGTATCTTTTGGTTTCTACGAAACTGTGATCGCCAGTAACCAATTACGGCACAAGAAAAAGAGAATTATCATGAAATTGTGCAAAAATTGTGATTGATTATTCTATTACCCCATTAGAAGAAGCTGGACGATGAAAAGTGCCTCTGTACTCGCAAACTCGAATTTTACAGCGCCTGCTTCATACCATACTGGCAGTTTACTGATTCCTGTAACGCGAAGTAACTGCAAGCAATGACATGGTTCAAATTATTTCATGTAGATAACTGTGTAATGTTAGACTGAAATATGCTGAATCTTGAAATATTTCTTAAGCAATTTTGTGGTTGAAATTCATGGTCCTCTCTGATTTACGTGGCAAAGTTCACATCTGGATATATGATATAAGAACAGAGAAAAATAATGTTTTGATCCTGTACAGTCATCGCAAGCGATAGATTCCGTCAATAATGGTACATATATGCCATCACTTAGATTATATCACACATATGACAACTGCTCAATTTCATCAAAATAACTTGTATTTGAATTGCAATGCTCTCAATCTTTCAAACTAGGCTTCATCATTTCTAAAAATGTTTCATGTATATGTATATATTTCAGATCTAAACATCAAAGATAATACAATCTTTTCATCTTACATCTGTGAAAAGAATACCGGCAACTCCAGCCATGGCAAACCGACAATGCACCAACTCAGCCTGTACATACCATCTCAAGCTCTTTGGATCCTCACCCAACCCCAATGGGTCAAATCCAAAGTCCCCAGAAAGACTGCGTATCATACAAATATTTTTATTAGCAGCGATCTTCACGTCTATTCAGTTCGATCTGTGACTTTGGTCTAGCAAAGACATAAGATGAGACTTAGTCCTACATATTGGACATTGGACGAGTAGTTAGATGAATAACCAAGCTCGTATACACTTGGATTCATGCATCATATATACAAATATTACTGTAGTAGCGTCTAACACCTATTCTGTTCAATGGTAAGATTTGGTCCCATATTGAGAAAGCAGTCAGACAGATATATGGTTAAGTACGCTCAGATTCTTGACTCAAACAGGATTACATCATTTTGAGTCAATTAGGAGAATGCAACCTGACCTGCCATCGAGATGCGGGGGCGGATCGAGGCCAGGGAGCCAAGTGGGCCGATGAGCCTGAACTACTACCTGTGAACGCAAAGTCCGTGTGGAGACAGGCATTGACGTGCACGGGAATTTGGAGGAGGCAATGGTGGGAGGAGGAAAGAAAGCTGCTGCATGGGTTGCCACAGCCGAAACATCGCTGAGCACCATTGTTGGATTGGGGCTCAAAGAAGTGAAGGATTTCTGTGCAAGATAGCTGATTGATTATCATGTTGTGGTTTTTGAGTGGTGAGAAATAAAGCACTGCAAGTGGGAGATGTGAGGGATGTGGACTGCATTTTTCATTTCGTCTCAGATTGTCTTTTGTATATATATATAGTATAGTTATATATATATATATAATATATTATATATATATTATATGAGATATATGGGTATTACTTGGGCCAAGGATCCTTGGTAGTGATGTGGACACATCTTGTCGCATAACATCACACCTTGAAGTTGGTCGAGGCTCCATCTTCAAGGTGTGATGTATGGACAAGATGTGTCCACATCACTACCAAGGATCCTTGGTACCAAGTATACCCATTTTTCTCTATATATATATATATATATATATATATATATATATATATATATATATATATAGAGCAAGACTCCTATCAACTTAAGTTGATGTCTACCAAAGTTTCTAGGCCACACATATATTAATATAAAACATCTTTTTATATAATACATGGGATGCCTAGGCAATATGAGGTTTAAAAACTTTGGTGGACACAATATTTGCTATCCACTTAAGTGATAGGAGTTTTCACACACACACACACACACACACACACACACACACACATATATATATACATATATATATATATATATATATATTATATATATATGTATATATATATATATATATAATTATATATTATATATATATATGGAAAATTGTTCCTAATGTGACAACTTAGATAATCATCTAAGGACGCGGCCTAAAAGTCACATGATTGAGCTACAGTGTGGATGATCCCGCCTCCGTTGAACTTGATCTACATATGTTCTAAAATCTCAACACACCAAGTTTGGGGGTGAACCCATCGTCGTTTGACTCTCCGTCGAGCCAAGTGAAAAGTTCTATTCATTCTCTGGGGAGGTTAGTGCGCAGGGAGTCGTAGAGGCTCGTATGCACAACGTACCAGGTCGGCATTCGGTTTCGGGCGCTGTAGAATCCAGGTTCCTCCGACCCCGGGCCGCGCTCCGAAGACGGCGACGCTCGTGGCCCTCGGTCGTAGCTCTCTGGCGGCGACAGAGGCCGGCGGCGGCCAGCTCCGATGACTGCCACGTGGCGCGCGGATGAGGGTGGCGAGAGGCGGAGATCGGCATGGATGGGGATGGATAAGCAGCGGCGTGAATGACCATAATAAACACTAATTTTAGGGGAGCTCCGATTTTGGGGCTCCGATTTTGGGGCGGGGGACGGTTGCGTGCAGAGGAGGAAGGGAGGGACCGATCTCGGCGCGGTGACGATTTAGGGAGGCTCCGATTTGGGGGAGAGAGAGAGAGGGGCTGAAAGATAAGGTCACGAGCAGTTCCACAGAGACATTTTATTAACCGCCCTCTGTTGATAGTTGCGATTTTTTTGGCAAAAAAACCAGTTCTGCGGGGCTCAAATGAGGCTAGGCGAGGGGCCAATTAGGCAATACGTTCGGCCCGAATGTCTGTATTTATATATATACTATATATATAATAATATATATTATTATATAATATAGAGAGAGATGAGAGAGAGAGAGAGAGAGAGAGAGAGAGAGAGAAATTCTTATGTCAACTTAAGAGGACTATCCACAAACTTTCTATCGCATTGATAATACCTAAGAGATCATGGCAATTATATCATTAATATATATATATATATATATATATATATTCATATATACTATATATATATATTATATATATATACTATAATATATGATATAGAGATGAGAGGAGAGAGAGAGAAGTAGATAGGCGAGCCGAGAGAGGAGAGAGGACGAATGTAAGGAGCCAAAATACTATACGTGGAGTAGTTTGAATTACAAGTTGGTTGAAACTAGTCCAAATTGTATGTGCATTTCACTTGTCATTGCTTGTTTGGGTAAAAATGTTGTTATTGACAAAATAATGGCTGGCAACATATAATATCTATATGCTGCGTGTAATTAGAAATAGGACTATAAGGAGAGTTTCTGATTGTAATATAGATGAAAATGTTAAATATTACAAGTGAAAGTAATAGAAAATGGACAATCATCTTTATGATGAATATTTAGAATTCTGTAATTAAAGAGAAGTATCCTTATATTGAAAAATAAAAATCGTGGTCATTAGGTTCATTCAATGGAGTCAATTGAACCCTACTGGTTATGCTTGCAGATGAAATCATGCATTCTTTTAGCATGCAAAGTTCATTACTTATTATATTAGCCATTTCTTTGACTATAATGATCATCCAATATAAGGATTTATGTAAGACTGAAATGAATAGGTGCTTCTTAGCAAGTCATGCGTCTATATAGGATTGAATTTACCCTTGGAATGGAATCTTACGGACAGTTGAGATGCATGTTTCATATAAAGCGTTCACCAGAGAGGTAACTTCCATAAGTACGAACCGCAGGAGAGCATTTCAAGTGCTATAAATATGCTAAAGTTTAGCATATTAAGCTATTAACTTCTGGTATTCCGTACATGATGCGACCTGTGATCGCATATCCTAAAATAGATGGATGTGTTCTATTGCTTACCATTATTATTATTAGTTTTGCTATTTGTTTGCTATCGTTCACACGCTTCCTCTACTTTTCTTCTTTTCTTCTTTGTCTCGCTGCAGATGATGCTGCTCTTGTTGAAGTTAATCCTAATTCTAAAAGGATTTGAGATAGTTATCTCTAAAAATTATAGTCATATTAGAATTCTATTATAAAACACTTTATAAAGCTTTTAAATAAGCATTCATGCATCCTTCTACCTAAGAGGAAAAAAAGGAGAGAAAAAGACAGGGGCTGAGTACTGTAGCTGAGTAAGCGAGAGTAAAAACAGTTTTTTTATTTGCTTCTCCCACAAAATCTCTCCTCATGTATATTATACTTATATTTGCTTTGCCGTTGATTGCTCCAACTGTGATATATCAGAGCCATGAACAATCTAAACGGGACGACGTCGCCTTCTATTCCTATATTGGATGGGAAGAATTATCACCGGTGGAGAGTGCAAATAAATGTGTTATTTGAATATCAAGATATATTGGGTGTCGTAGAGAAAAGAGTTGTCTCTTTTAGATAGGATAAGTTTAGCTTATATTCGAGATTCTGAGACGCAACATGATACCAATTGCAGAAGCCCATGGAGATAAAAGAGTTGAGCGTTTTGTGAGGAAGCTTGAACGTGGCCTTGGTACAACCGGTCACTGAGTAGTACCAAACCATGACCCCCTCATACAAATTGCCAACAACTACAAGTTGAGGCCTAGGATTTCCAACATATAGCAGGTCATACCCAAATTGGCGAGCAAATCAGTATGGCTGATAGGGCTCAACAAAACCTTTCCTGCCCTGCCGAAGGATCAAGTAACCTGACCTTGTTATAGTGTTTACTCACCTAATATACAAATATTTCCAGTGCAACTCGACCATCATTGCTAATTTCAAGACCATGGTACCTTATCAGGGGTAGACCCAAGGCACAATCAAGAGGACCTGACCCCACCGACTTATCAAGTCGACTCTCTGGTGTCGACTCCAAAGGCGATATTGGTCGGCACGATAGATCCTGACCTCTTATATGAGTCAGCATCTTTATATCGACTCAAGAGACAATTATTAGCTGAGACGAGATGACATTCTAACCAGTCGGACAGGCCGACATTCCTGAATCGACGTGAAAGGTGGTGTCGATCGACCCCATCATCAATGACGACCCTACTTAGGGCACTCGACCATTCACTGGGCAATTCTTAGAAGCAACTGGAGGGACATCCCCTGCTACTAATTAAATTGAGAATTCGACCTCATCTCCAAGCCTCTATCCTAGAGCATATGTCGACATTTCCGTCCACCTCGGACAAGCCTTATCTAGATTTTGGTCTGATAGGTCTCTATGACTTGTCAGCTCAATCACTTCTCGGAAAATACGGAGACACACTCTTCCATGCCGAAGTGAATTCCCTTCCAGTCACCAGCCGACACTTGTAAAGAAAGAGATGATTCAGTATGCCTATGTGCCTCTTGCCACGCTATCAATCACTTTTCAGAATATGCGAAGACACCCTCTCCCATGCCAAAGTGACTTTCCTCCAGTCGTCAGCTGACACTTGTAAAGCGAGGGATGACTCACCTTCCAGCTCACATTTGGTGACCTCCATTTTGCATGGCCGAACAGATCAATCTGCGGAGGATCATCCTATTTATATACAAAGGCTATTCGCCATAGCGGTAATCTAAAACCCCCTAAAGCATAGATGACACAAAAAGAAGAACACACAGTTCTTCGTCCAGACAGAGGAGCTCACATAGATCCTCTGGGCATGCACCTTACCACCTTAAGAACCATATTAGTTCTTGACCTTCCCCTTCCCCACTTGAGTTTCACTAACTTGACATTCGGAAGAACCACAAGGGAACCGGTCCCCGCCCTCTTACGGTTTTTTCTTGGCTGCATAGCGTGGACATCGAGCTCTCGTTCAAGAACCAGGCATAAAGTCAAAGAAGGGAGTGGATCCTCCATCACCCTTCATCACCCCGTAACCATCCTCTTCTAGATTAATCGGCTGTTTGATATCGATCATCAACATGCCTGATGTCGAGTAGCTAACGGAAAACACCACCATTCAGTTGGGTGAACCCGTTGGGACCCGCCACATCTTGAAACATCTTCTCATACCCCCCCCACCTTCAAAGTCTGGGAAGCAGCGGAAGACATGGTAATTAAGATTCTTTTCCAGAATATGGCGGATCTTAACCATAAATGTCCCCTCCCACTTTGCTGACTCAAGTCGTTGTACAAGTGGGATGAATGAGTTGTAAAACCCCAAAAATTTAAATATTATGTAAAAAAATAATAAATATATTATATGGTGATAAATAACATATTTTAATGTTTGAGTATGCTACGGATTGATTTAAGACCAATCCAATGTATATATATGAATATAGGAGTGAAATCATGCACAACATGCACGAGCTTGAATCTGGAAAAACGACCAGTTAAAAGTTTTTATATTTTACACACTGATACAATAT